TGTAGTTGCAAAGAAAAGAAACGGCAAAATGTCCAGCCTTGCCTAACAAGGTTCAATCTTGCCCGATTCCCTTTGTTTTGTCTTGTAGTTAATAGATCTGGTGTTGTAATGAATTCCCTAGTATGTATTCAAATCATTTTAGGTCTTTTAATGATCCAAAGTTCAGCTTACTCTCAGATCTGGTTTTAGTTAAATGGTTTTACTATCTTAAGAGTGAATCCACTTATTGCCTTGATTAGATCCGAACCTTTGCCCTTTTACCATACAAGATAAACAAAAGTCCTTGATCTCAAGGCATAGAAAAGAATCTAATGTGGACTTAACCCATCCACGACAATCCTTTGATAATGAGAAGTCAGAGTAACTTGGGGTGCAAGTAATCGACTTAAATCTACTCATTTTACATCTGTCATACTGAGATGGTAGTGGCACGCCTCAGCACTTAAGTTAGTTTTGATTGCGAGCCTCACGGCCGATACTTAAGGCCCGACAAAGGCACATTTCAGAATTAACTCTGTCCTCTTCTTGCAAGCCCGACGAACAAAGCGAGAACCCGACAGTCAACCAAAGTGCCAACTCCGCGGGGAGCTGTGTGCTCGAGCCAGGAACACCCACCGGCAACATTCCTGCCCGAACAGTTTCATATGTTGTTCTGCTTTTTAGCATCCAATTTCTATTCATGAATTATTACATGATCATTGCAGAAAGCATTTTAGGGACTATATATACCGAGCTTTGTTATGAAGAATTCGGTGATCGGGTGAATCATTGGATCACGTTCGATGAGCCATTAGCTTCTATTGTGGCTGGTTATGGAACTGAAGATTTGGCACGTGGACGATGTTCCGATTCGCTCAAAAGCAGCTGCACAGGTGGAGATTGAGGACTTGAGCCATATTTGGTCACACAACCAGCTTCTTGCTCATGCTGTTGCTGTTAAGTTATATTTCCAAAAATATCAGGTGATATCTAAGAGCTATAAATCACTTTCGATCTTATGATGACATAAAATATTAATTGTTTAACAAAATGCTGTGACATGTGCAGGCATTTCACAAGGGATTGATAGGGGTGACATTGGTGTCACTTAGAGTCCTGGATTCTTTTTTTCTATATTTTTTTTTTTTTGGAAATTTACGACGGTACAAGAGTAACTTTATTTTTCTAATAACGGCTTGTGACGTCCAAGCATGCTTGTTCCCGGCCTAATGGTTTCGAGCGCAACTTGCATTCAAAGACTCAATAGTTCATGGAATTCTGCAATTCATACTAAGTATCGCATTTTGTTACATTCTTCGTTGATACGAGAGCTAGAGTCGTTTTGACAGTCCTGAATTCTTATAAAATAATGGGCCACAAAACTATTGAAGTCACCTAACAATAGCATGTTATATAAATCAAACTCTTGCAACCTGTTCATATTTACGATAATCGAACTCACTTGTAACCGCCGTGAAAGTAAGTGGATTTCACGTGTATTCCAAGTTCGAGCTGATGTGCAAGTTCGTAATTTTTTATCCCAATTTTTTTGTTATCAAATGAGATGACATTCTTGAGGATCCCATTGGGCCCATACATGAGTAAACGAAACCATGCATATATGCACATCAGTTGGCATCTAAAATATCTTAACAAACAGATGATTTGAAGAAAATTAAAAGTGCAGCCTGTAAAACATAAATGAAATGAAGAATAACCGTAGAGATAAAGGGGGCTTTTGTATATTGCAGATATTCGATTGGTTGCAATTGAGCTTGATTAGCTCTCAAGCTATCACATCAACCTCCTAGCAAACTCAGTTGTACCCGGCTCTCTAAATAATTTTTCTGACTGGAACCTTATTCACACATCTTTTTTTACATCCCACATATTATTTGTTAAGTTTTATCCTGACAACTGAAAATTAAGCAGTGTATATAAAAAATAAAAAGGAGTGTATGAACAACACTTTTACTCCCTATGTTATATTGCTTAAACTTAGTGACCGTTTGTGTTGCTACGCGTAATGGAATCCCCATTGGGCCAATGGTGAGTATCACATTGATAAAGTCTTATAATTTCCTTTTGGACATACCTTCAAATAATCATTTGATTAATAATCCGATCCAAGGGATGATAGCTAGAGGATTTAGAAATTTAATCCTATATCGTTAATGATCTTGCAGGCTGCTTCACCTTATATTTATCCGAAGGGCATTAGAGATATTTTGCTCTATAGGAAGACAAAATATCATATAACCTTCATAAAGTTATAAAATTTGGTTGATTCCAATTACATAACTTGAGAGATTTTATCGTATTTATTGAAGTCCTAAAATACCATAGATCACTATCACTGCAAACTTGCAAAGATGGTAATAAGTCCACTGAAATAATTGAACTTTGATTCTTGTTGAAAGGGCTCACTATATCTACTTATATATGATAAGAATAATGCTAGGGAAATAAAATTGTAGATTAAATTTGTAAATTAAATGACATGAAAAGTAATGATTAAATTATTAATTAAATATTGATTAACGTGTTTATTTCTTATTAGTGATACATTATTTAGTTTACCTAATATTCCTCAAATGACAAATATCAATAAAATATCACATATATACAATGCTGAAAAGTCGCTATCTTGTCATGGTTTCAACGATATTCACTCTTCCTCTAGCTCTATCTCTAAGCAAGATCATCATCATCAGATTATCCCCAATCTTGAAAGATGACAAACTACATATAATTCATTACTTCCTATATGACCCACAGTTATTTATAGCTAACAATTGGAGATAAACTTTTTGCATGTGATGTTGGCATTCATCAGAAAATATGAGAATAATACAAAAATGAAATATTGAAGAACGAGAAAAAATCCATGCTGTATTGTTCACCACCAGTACAAGTCCAACTAATATTAGTAATCTCCCACACATATCCAATGTTAGAGAATGGAGGTTTTTCACTAGTGTGTAAAATATCTTTCTAGTGTTGAAAGTACTCGTTAGAGAATAAAAGTTTTGGATTAGTACTTAAAAGATCTCGAGCCTATTGTCTCAATTGATTTTGAATTTAAATGCTTATATATCTAATATGGTATAAAAGCAAAGCTTTCCGCACGTTGAACTTAGTATTTATTCAATATGTGTCGGGTTTATACATAACTTAACACAAAATATTTATGTGAGAGTCACCAAATAATATTGAGATCCAACCACATAATGCAGTGGAGGTTATACAGAATTAGCATTCCACCATATACATGTGTGGACCAAGATTTTCCAAGACTGGTAAGCTTCCGAATTCAAACTATAGGATGAAGTTCACTAATCTCTTTTGTGTCACCCTAAAAATCACATCTCCTTATGTAACCGAATGAGTACAACACAATACCAATAAATAGAACATTTGTAGCCACAGAATTAGGACCAACTTGGAAAAGCATATGATCCTTTTGTTGTGACAAAAGACATCTTGATAAGCTCGTAGTTTTGTCGAAAGATGCTTGCATGGGTTCATCATGTTCACATGTATTTGGACCACATTAGCATACGTTCATTGTATTTGCTAGTTGCACCGTGTACACTTAAGCAACCACGGACTATTATTGACTAATGTATACGTTTATATATATTAGAGTAAACTGCCGATTTGCCCCCTGAACTATCACCAAACTTTCGATTTGCCCCCTGAACTTTTTAATTGGAAAATTAAGGACTTAAACTAATTTTTTTGGCCAATTTGCCCCCTGCTGTTAATTTTTCATTCATTCCATCCAAATTTTTGTTAAATGGAAGCATATGCACAACATGTGTGGGTAGTTCGGTCACTTCATTCTTTAAAATAATTGAAAACCTTAGATTTCTAAAATATAAACATATGCAAATATGTGTGATTCTATAGCTTTTCTGTCTGAAGGTCTAGTGAAATGACGCTTTTGTCCACAAATGAGAGTTACGTGGTTTGCACATGATAAGAGTTAACGTTAATTTGGATGAAATTTATGAAAAACTAACGGTAGGGGGAAATTGGCCAAAAAAATTAGTTTAAGTCCTTAATTTTCTAATTAAAAAGTTCAGGGGGCAAATTGAAAGTTGGGTGATAGTTCAGGGGGCAAATCGGCAGTTTACTCTATATATTATGACATGCTAACTCGACAGCTTTCACGCTCAAGATGTATTGCCTACTCTATGTGCATGTACTTGCACTAGTGCCCAAATTATTGGTTAGCTAGAGAAATAGTAGTTGATACCAATTTACAATACCCAATATCTGTATTGTGCCTAATATTTTGTGGATATATATTATTAATGTTGACATTGTACTAGCAATTGTAGATTGGGAAGTATCAAACTTTTATTGGCTCAATAATAGCAACGGAATATTATTCATAAACTTTATTTTCAGCTTTCATATGTGAGTGTGAAGATATAGAAGAGTCTCACATTGGTGAAAAGAGAAATATTGCAATGGCTTATAAGAGGTTGGGTTACTTCTCATATTGCCAATTGGTTTTATGGTGGAAACCTTAACTTTCTTTATAGTATTAGAGCCAGGTTGGCCCATGTGTTTGGTTTGAAAATTCACCACATGTGAGGTTGGGCTACTCTCCATATTGCCAAAAGTCCGTGCAAGGTTTCTCCTTTCACTAATGTGAGACTCTTTTATCTTCACATTCTCACATCATAAACTTTATTGTTCCCTTCCGTTGAGAGACGCCTTATGATACTCATTCTATAACTTTTTTCAATGATCCAAACCCTCTATATTTTTGTATATTATTCATAGACGTCCTTGAAAAAATAAATTAAACAAATCCAAAACCATTAAGACATTTAGTGAAGAAAATAGACGAATATGGTTTTTCAAAGAAACACTAATATGACTACCATTTAATCCAACGGTCTCATGGTTTCAAATTTGGGAGATTCTTGGTATTTGTTAAGGAAGACCTAAAAGATGACGGTTGGATCGTTGAAATACGATGTGGAGTAGGCCCTATAAAGTAAACATATATCAAAGTATACAAGCACTTTTTATTCCTTAAACTATTGCTACTAAAACAAATCAGTTCCAGCTTTCTACATTGCATAATTGTGGAGAAAGCTTGATAATATCATTGTCAGAAGTCATATGAGTTAAACTATATATGCAAACGAAAGACAAAAAGAAAGATAAAGAGTAAGGACCAAAAACACACAAGAAAGTTCCTAGTTCAAATAGAGATGCTATATGGAACTCCCTTTCCGGTAACCCCAGGTTGAGAAAAGGGTTTCAAAAGCTCGTAAGGCAGAACCCCAGCTCCATGTCGGTTCTTCAACTCACTATTGGCATTTCGATCATCGATAGATCCTTCCAGCGCCAACAACCTCCCTTTAAACCGTTCAAATGCCGCCTTTATAACGGGCTCTTCAGCCCACGCCTGCTCCATCTTCTCTCCAATGTACTCTTCATCCGGTGAGTGATTCGACAAAATGTCCAAAACAGCCATGATTCTTGTTGCTTGGATTTGTGAAGGAAAGCATTGCAAAAGTGCACTTTCAGGCTTTTTTATGAAATTTTTCCAATCCTCTTCTGAGGGGTCCTCAGTGGGCACATTGGTCCTTGCAACTGTTGGCCTGTTAGGAAAATAACCTCCATAGGCATACTGGCCAAAGTTGACAGCTGCATGGTGACCAGATGCGACCCAAACCATTGTTGTGATGATGCCCATTAGGTCTTCCGGAGTGTTGAGTTCTGGCCACCATGGCTCATCTTTTTTGTCTGCATGGCCAACTGTTTTGATTTCTGTCCACCATGCTTGGAGCTCTTCATCAGTCTGGACAAGGATGGAGTCGGGGTAGTAGTGGTTTACGTAGTCAGTGACCCATTGTTTAATTGCATCCCATAAGAGGAGACCATCATTGGCAAAAGGGTAGTCTTCAATTGTTAGCCTTAGGCCATGTGGAGCAGTTGGGTCCTCAACAGCCATGCCCCTAGAATTACAATATAAACATGCATCGTCACCAACATGTTAGTTAAATAGTACCTTTAGAAGAAAACTAGAATATTTGAAAAGTGAAATGTTGTTTTCATATTTCTAAGGCTCAGCGGTCACAAGAAAAGTTGACAATATATAATCACTGATATTAGTTCTCAAGTGGAAAAAAGAGCCTATCAGATTCTAGTAACCGCAAAAGCACTTACGTATTTTTTCCACTCACCACTAATTAATAAATTTTTTTCGTACCGTCGAGATAATAAAAATAAAAACTTTTCACCCACTGCATCTTGTATAATATTCAAGCATTAAGCCATCTCGATGTCATTAACTAAGGCACATGCAAGTTTGACATATTTAGTTGTCAAACTGTCAATCTGAAATATATTTTCTAACAAGAATTCCACATGATCAATGTCAATTGATAGCATGTTAATTAAGATAATATGTCAGACAAGAGACAATTCCATCACATTGTGTAGAGCTATACACAGCCAGCTAAGAGAGTAAATGAAGTTACCTTCTAATAAGGTCTGCTGGGAGTGCCTCTTGGTCAAACCGCCATTCCTTCCCATAGGCAATAGAGCAAAGCTCAAGGGAGTACTTTCCGGGAGAAAATGAGGTTTCGATGATGCCGTCAGCATTGATGAGTGAATCACGAGCAAGAGAATTAATCTCCATAGTGTATCTGAAATGGGGATGTAACAATCTATAGATTGGGTGCATGACACTCAGTTGTCGATTTGTGGCGATTATGTAGGGTTCTGTGGCACAGTGTGTTCGAAGCCTGCAATAATCGATTCCCTGAGAAAATTGGACGAATGGAACTATTTCGACTGCATTATTGTACCACAATTGTGTATGATCACGTTATTTACTAGTGTAAGAAAGTGATTGATGTAATATCAATTCTATTTATTTATTACCAATGACTAACAAGCTGATGATAACCAGAATCGTGGGCAAGGACATGAGCTTTAGCAAGCCTCCAGAGCCAGACATCCGTGGAGTTCCACGCCGGTTGGAAAACTTGCTTCCATTGTGGCTTTCCGTCCATTGGTGGCCTTGTCAGCTCAATGACCAGTGGCCTGAGTGTGCCTTCTGGGGTAAGAAAAAACAAAGTCCTCGATCCATATAGTGTGGTACCTTCGAGCTTTCTTACTTTGCTCACATAGGGTAAAAACAAATCATGATAATCTAAAATAAACAACTTCTTTTCTCTGATGGCCTGCATGCATATAACGAATACGGATGAATAATATAACAAATCAGACTATCGAACGAGAAAATATATATATCTACCTCAGTAATGGTTGCGAAACCTCCAATTTCTCTCTCAATTATTTCATTGGTGATAGCTGATTCAGGCGGGCCATATATCGCTGGGTCCAGTTCACTCTTCAATGGCCATTCCTACAATTACATTTTATTTATTTTCATTTGTTTCAGAATTTTAATTTTGTCAAAAATGTGACGAGCATAAAAAATTAAGTTAAGACTCAGTAAAGTCACTGTACAGAGGTAAGTAACTCATACCGTCACCAACTTGATGCTGTATGGGTTGAGACCTGCAAGAGTCTGCCTACCAAACTCCTCGTCCCTAAACCAAAAGAATTTGTCCCCTAATGCTCCAACGAAAAATAGTTCAATTAACTAGAGATAAGGAGAGAAGTAAATGAAGTAATGCATACCGCACTCAAAAGTAAATAGAGAATATTTAATATTTTTATTTTCTTTTTTCCTAAAACAGTCTTATGACTATATGAAAAAAGAACAATAAGATTAGAACAAACGTGGTTATTGCTAGGATAACTAAGACAACATACGTGATAAAAGTGAAAAAATGTCACTCTCTGTATTGGTCACAGTTTTGCTGTCAATTTTATCCTTTTGTCACGCTTTTTATATCTATTATCTATCAGTATCCAAGCTTGCTCAGTGAATTACTTATTTTCTTCAAGTTTCACTTAATTAACAGTTGTAAGATTCATTATCCGATAACAAATATGTTAGAATGTATGTCAAAAGAAACAATTTTTCTTACGAATATAATACAAATATATTAGTGTGTGAGGCTGAATTTACTTACTATTCATCGTTTCTGGGGGTACAAAACGTAAAACGTCATCTCCAGTAGCCATAACGTTGACTAGCCTGGGAAGCAGGGCTTTGAGAACCCCTTGTTCCTTGAAGGGAGGCAAGTGAATCCCCTCGTGAAAAAGTGAGTCTATGGCCGTGAAGTACTTGAAGCCAAGATTAGTGTCGGCAATCGCCATCTCCAGCGATGGTACCAATGCGTGCATCACAGAGTACAACGTCTTTGCTGAAAATGTTAGCTGCTTTACCTCTGAGAAGGCTTCATCTCTAGGAACGTACCAATGTTTTCTGCTCCTTTTCTCCGACAACGGATCTGTATGTATAACCATTGATTAATAATAACTTTAAGATAACCATTTAAAAACAATTTTCTATTGTCATAAGCTAGCTAGAATATTTTTGATGAAATTGAGGTTTCACCATAAAACTAATCGGCAATATGGGGAGTAGCCCAAGATCATAAAAGCCCTTAACTAGATTTGTCCCTCACCGATGTGGGGCAAACTCTCCACACACCATCAACCCTCAACAATTTTCACTATGATCAATTATTATTTGAGTTTGTGTCATTGGTCTAAATTCATAATTTGATAACATAACATGTCAGACTGTTTAGCATTAAAATATGTAGTATTCGACGTGCATGTATTTGGTACCTGTGTCACATGGTGGTCGTCCAGTTCTGCAACGTCTGGGATGCGGGAATTCTTTGCCACCAAGTACTGGTCTTTGGAGTCTTAAATTCTTATCAGGATCACCAAGATCGTTGTAAACATCATAGTCATATATCCTCTCAAAGCTCTTCCGCTCTCCTTGGCCATTCCCTCGCAAAGTCAAGAGCTCCTCTTCTCTTAGCCTCACTAACCCGCTTGGTGTTTGAGATGGCAAGTATGACTGTTCCACACATGCACAAAATAATGCACCATTCGAAACGAAGATCAAGATCAAATGGTTAAAAAATTGCAGTTTCGTTTTAAGTAAGAGTAATAACTTAAAATAATAATAATTGGTAATCCTCATTTAACTCTATTCCACCATTCTTCACCAAGCAAAATTTTACTCCATCTTGAATATGATGTCAACATACTAACATACTGAACCAACTAAATAAGTTGTTAGAAGCTTTTTTATTAGAAACACGACAAAAAATTTACTAAAAATCGATTTGTTTTTTGTTTTTTTTTACAAAACACTTTTTGTGCTATTATAATCAAACCTATTTTGTCATATGTAAGTTTTGATGACTGATATATCCATAGTGGCATGCCATGTCAGCAAGTCATGTCATCACTTTAGCCATAGATATAATATATGTGATTGGGAAAAGGCTGACCTTGTTTGTGAAAAAGACCCTCTTTTCAGGATTGTCATACTTGGAGTGAATCCAAGAATTACAGCTATGATGAACAGAGCCACATGGGAGGCCATCGACGACAATTTCCTTGAGAAACATCTCCTTGTGGTGCTCATTCTCTACCAAAATAGCACCTATCTCCCCAAAATCTACTGGTACTTTGATATCTGTCTCGTATATTATCTCACCTTCCTGTCGGCGACTCCTGTGTGCATACCCCGCAACCTTCTCCTTCTCCTCTCCGGTTTCTTCATCACAAAGCGTAACAAAATATTAAATCTTCTTTGTTATTAAAAAAACAATTTTTGCTGGAATTTTAGATTGTTAATTGCACTTCGCATATACATTTTAACAGAACTTTGAAATTTTAGCTATGGTAGGAGAAATTCGTCGGACTATTCTGGGACCATGAACAAGTCTCCAAACTCCAAGTTTTTGCTTCCTTCATTTTGGTTTGTCGGGATCCATTTGTGAAGTAAAAAATAACGGTTGTCCTTTCTATAATGTTTAGTTAGCAACCCATACAATTCTTACCATAAGATTCTCATCGGTTTGATTGATGGTCCTATAAATGATAATATCTATGATGGTATATCCTTCACTCGCTATCTCCTTTTCTCTTCGGAAATATGGTACTAACACAACAGCCTCCACATATTTAACAGATTATTACTCATCAAGTATTGATCAGATAGAAGGAAGAAATTGATAATATATATATATATATATATATATATATATCAATTGTTATTAACACTTTAAAATTTCCTTAAGCACTCTTTACAAATGTATTTTTCCTTCTAAATATTTGTATATATTAAACGATATTGTTAGTGGGTTAATAGTTAGTTGACAAGGGAGGGGGAATCAGGAGGATCAAACCCTCACCAGAGTGCATAAACATAAGTGCTTTGTGCCATGAATAAGGATCCTCTCCGGATCCTCCAATCACATCTGTTTATCGTACATCATACAGTTAGTTTTCGTCAAATACTGTTTATATTCAATTTTAAATATAAAAAATTACAATGATTTATAACCGCACGATGTATGATGAACTGACGTGATTGGAGAATCTCCAGGATCCTCGCAAAGAGGATCCAATCCTCATTCTTGTGCCACTGCAGTAAAAAGCGATATGCATATACTTTATATATTTAAATGATAGAAAATGTTAGGCAAATCACATTTTTTATATATGGGAAATTTAATTTGAACTCATATAACTCTTTTCTACACCCAACTTATACTTTAAATATGAAATATCTTCACTATCCTATTGTATAATTACCATTAAGTACAAGATGAAATTAACAATAAAAATAAAATTTATCAATAAACCCACCCAATAATCAAACCCTACGTAATCTTTCTTTTACGTTCTTTCCTGGCAAAAATCCTAAGACGCTCTTATAGACCTTTTTCATCGTCATCATCACTACCACCACCACCATCCACCAACCCCACCACCATCATCATCATCTGCACCACTACTCATCACCTGCAGAAAACTTGCTTTTACTTATGCTACTATTGCTGCCAAAACAACAAGCAGCAGCTGATCAAGATAACACCTAGTTCTAAATCAAGTGTTTTTCTTCAATTTTAACTATTCATTTTAATTAAGTAATTAAAGTTAATTTTAATTCTTTAATTAACAAGTTCAGATCTTACTCATGTTTAATTAGTAGTCTTGCTATGTAGATGCACTGCAAACATGTGAGAACATGATAATCATTGGACTTCGCTTCATTTTGTTTATGAACTGTTGAGTGTTTATAATTAGTCCTGTGATCTTATTATTATTTTATTTTATATATTCTGAAAGAGTTTCCATTTCTCGGTTTCTAACTTTCGTGCATGCTTGCTAGCTGTTATTCCTAGTACTTCAAGTCGGCTTGCAAAATATGCATGCATTTGTTAAACTAACTAGGATTTGATAAATTTGGTTTGACTCTCATAGTCTCATGGCAACTGTGTTTAATTAGATTAATAGATTTAATTAACATGGATTTTCATGAGACCGATCCAGGTAGCTTCTAATGTGAAAACATGGGTTTATAAATGTGCATATTGAATTGAGTCTGTAAGAGTAGTATTGGTAGTAAATTGGGTTTAAAGAGAGATTAATAGTTTGATAAAAATAATATGGGTGTAAATAGTAAGCTGGATGTAGAGATAGGTTATATGGGTTCAAATAAAATTTCTCTTTCTATATTAGTATATCATCTAATATGACAAGTGATATATACTATATGTCATGTTAATTAATGATTTTATCTTATCAGATATTGGTTGTATAATTCATTTGTCACATCATACAATCCACCAATATGATATAAATATGTGGTCTTCCAAGTATTACTGTTAAATAATTTTTGCTGTTAATTTTTTTTTATTAGGAATGCCATTGTTTTTAGGGGAACGAAACGTGACTTTTCATGCCATTGAATTAAAAATATATGGACAAAAACTTTCACATATATTTTCATTTTATTGACACGGTAAACCTGTGTCATATAAGTCATTTTCCATTTTTAGGCCACAATTGTATGTAAACACTTTTATGGGCAGATGATGTGAGAAGCAAGCCATTTAAAGAAATAAGAATATATTATTTTTTGGATTTTCTAAGCCAATAAAAGAACCCTAAGCCACAAAGCTCCGCTACCACCCCACCACACCGGCGATCCCTCTCTTCTTCTCTCTCTACTGTTCTATCTCTCTCTTACCCGTCTTTTTGGGTTTGATTTTGCTTGCACAAATTTGAAGAAAAATAATAATAATAACTCATAAGCATAGAGAAAGATAAAGAGAACGAGAAACCTAAAATCACCATTGACATCAACTTCAAAGCGTATCTGGTGCGGGAGAATGAAAGAGAGGGAAAGGGCGGGCGGTGGAGTGGGGTGGCTAGCTAGCTGATGGGTAGGTTCATGCTGTGCCAAACGCTATATACATTATACATACTTACCTGGATGAAGCTCAGCGCTAACAAGCTCCAATAAGAGCGATTGACCGAGCAAATCTGTTATATCATCAAGTCCTCGGTTTAGACCAAGGTTTGAGAGAAAGCCTCCGACTGTAAGCGTCACGGTTAGGGTGGCCTTAACACTAATGAACTTCTTGGTGACGACTTCAGTAGTCACAATGGTGGTGGTGGTGGTGGTGGTAGGAGGAGGAGTGGGAGTAATAGGGTTTGGAATCGCAGTAGTAGTAATTCTAGTAGTAGTAGTAGTAGTTTTAGTCGTGGTAGTGGGAGTATTACTGTTATCACTACTACTACTACTACTACTTGTGGCTTTTATGCTTCTGTATTTTTCGGGTAGGAAGGAGGGCCTTGACCAGACAGGAAAAGAACTTCCGGCACTGCCATGGATAAATGGCTTGTGAAGGAAGAGAGTTTGGGCGGATTTTGATTGGTGAACTTGGGGATTCAACATCTCTTTATTTGCGCACAGGGAGAGGGAGTGGAGGGGGAGAGGATAACGAAGATAAGAGTGTGTCTCATATGTTTGTTTGGAGAGTTAGCTACGTGATCATTATATAGAGAGCAAGAGAGAAGCATGTGTTATTAATAATTGTGAATGGCATATATAGATTCCTCCCTATTGGGAATTTTGGACCACGTGAAAAAATAGAAAACATAATTGTTTGAAATATAAAATGAAGATTAATGTTTGTATTTGTATTGTTTTTATTTTTTTTATTTTGAAGGGATATAGGATTTCATTACCTCAAAAGGTCAACATAGTGCATACATGTAAAAAGAGGTGACTAAAAAAATAACTTTATATGGGGTAAATCACATGGAAACCCAGTAAATGCTAGGGAGATTAATTTTTTAAACCAAATTTTATAAATCATGCTAGCTCATTGTGAGGCTTAGCCCATTCCTCCACTCCCTTAGTTAGATAATATCGTTTGTTCAAAAAAAAATAAATTATAAATCATATAACTTGGTTGTCGATAATTGGATTGTTACTTAATTATTGATTAACGTGCTCATTTCGTATTGATAATACATCATATGATTTGCAAATTTGGTCTACCTAGCCTTAGTGGAAGAAAAATTAAACGCTACACAAGCCTTTTATTACATTCTTTCAAATATATTGTCATCAAATAAACAATCCGTAAGCCATGGAGGACCCGAGCTCTCCCAATAGGAGAAGCCACTGACATTGACAAACCTATCTTCCGCCGGAAGAGCAATGTTGCTAATACCGAGATAGAGTGCTGTTGATTCAAAATTCTCTGCCTCATCAAATGTCTGCTCTCAAGGTGAATGGTTCTAGTGGTTCTAGTGGTTCATCTTCTTCCAATACACAGGAATTTGATCATTTGTCCTCTGCTACTGTTGGTACTCTCAATGGTCTTTATGTGCCTCCATTAGGGCTGGGTTCAGTTTGTTGCCAAAATCGAAACTGAACCGAATTTCGGTTCAAAAAAGTTCCGGTTTTTTTCGGTTCAGTTTTTTTCGGTTTTGATTTTTTTCGGCTCGGTTTCGGTTTTTTTCCATGAATTTTTTTTTAATCTGGAAGAAATCTGCAACGATTGAGCAATGGAGATGCAGAAACTTCTGCATCAAATGAATACGAACTGGGACGATCGGCCATGGATCTGACATTATTGGGTGTTGGTGCGTATTTCTTGTTGTGGATCTGAGAGCTCTCGCAGAGAAAATGCATGCATGTGTTAAATCTTTTGATTTTTCCATGAAAATAAACCCAATAGAACTAAATAGCAACCATGAGAGTTTTTTACCTTGGGGGTTTATTTTTAGTCCCAAAGCTCTCGCCAGCCATGGAACACTTATGCATATGCTGCCAAATTGGAAGATTAAAAGAAAAACTTATGCATCTGCTGCCAACATGCAAAACCCCAACAAAATAATTAAAAGAAAAAACCCCCAAAAACACGCAGAAACAACAACAAAATAATTAAAAGGAAATCTGCAACAACAATCATGGTTTGGAAGAAGGATTCCGCGAGGAGGACAGGAGAATATTGGAGAGAGTGATTTGGAGGAAGAGATGAAGGGGGGAGAGAGAGAGAGACATTGAGGAAGCAAAGGCAGAGACTCAGGGAGGAAGCAGCGGAGGGAGAGAGAGAGTTTGAGAAAACGTGAAAAACTGAAATGGGAATGTGAATGACGACTAGGGTTTGTAAGTTAAGAAATTTTATAAAACGTTAACTATTAGAAACCTATAAATCAATTACTGGTACAATTATAACAAAACAAAGCTGACAGTCAAGTTGGCTTGAAACGACTACCCAACCTGAGGTCAGGGGTTTAATCCCTGATGCCAACATATTTTTTTTTCGGTTCGATTTTGGCAGTTTCGGTTCGATTTTTTTTCGGTTCGGTTTTTTTTTGCTTCGGTTCGGTGCGGTTTTCGATTTTTTTTGGTTTCGATTTTTTGAACCCACCCCTAGCCTCCATCTCACTCGCAGAAAGCATTTTATCCTTCTCCTTCTCAGCCAGTTTTACCATCATATTATCCTCCATTTCCAACTCAGGGGCCATTTGGTTATGGATATGTGGGCAATGCACTTCCTTCTTCTAATAATGGACCAAGATCACAATCCTTCAATGGACCTAGACCTTACAATGGTGGGCAGCAAAGAAATAATGGTGGGTTTAGGCCTTCATTTAAGGGCGGTAAAGGCACTAATTCTGGGGAATTTAAATCAGGCTGCAACTGGCAAACTTGGTCAGGCAATACTGAGTCCTGAGCTACTTCTCACCTGAGTGTCAAATATGCTCCAAAAGAGGACATACTACAGCCAACGGTTATCAGAGGAATACTAATTCTCCATCTAGTGGTTACATGGTGGAATGTCAGATTTGCGGAAAAATGGGATACACTGCCTTAAATTGCTAGCAGGGCCAATTTTGCTTTTCAAGGTCAAGCTCCACCACCAAATCTTTCTGCCATGGCTGCTCACTCCAAATGATGCTTGGGCTGTGAATTCTGGTGCATCACATCATATCAGACATTTCCTCTATGTAACAAGTTACACCTTTTGAAGGTGACCAGAAAATCACTATTGACAATGTTGCAGGTTTATCCATCAAGCACATTTGTTCTACTATAATGATTGTTGAGAGAAAGCATAGACATGTAGCAGAAAACTGCTATTACCTTATTGACTGATGCATCTCTACCACAGGAATTTTGGTATTTTGCTTGTGCTCGTGCTGTGTTTCTCATCAATTGGACGCCATGTAAGACTTTATCCATGGAGTCACCTTACTTTATCCATGGAGTCACCTTATTCAATGCTATTTAAGAAACCTCAATCCATACATA